AAAAAAAAAAAAAAAAAAGAAAAGGAAAAAGGACGAATTAAACAACGAACCTCCCTGCTAATCTCCTCTTCCTGGATCTCAATATCCGCCACGCTCCTCTTCAACACGTCCATATTGCCAAGGATATGCAGCTTCTCGTTTTGAAGGAATTCTATGTACTTTTTCCTATCCTCCTGTTCGAGCTCCTTTCTTTCTTTATCAGCTTTAGCCTCGTTTGATTTCGCGTTGTCCTTCTCCAAGTTGTTCTTCTTCGGGATCGTGCATATCTCTTTGGATTTCGAAAGCATAGTAAGCTGCTCAATAGCCTCTAGAAGGTCGTCGTTCGATATCGCCAGCTTGTTCTCGATCATTTCGCACGAGTTCGACAGCTGGCCGTTCTTCTTTGGCATGGAATGATTATTTTGATTGTTATTCTGTACAGAATTAACCATCACGTTCTCGTACAGGCTCATGTTCCCGTTCATCGAATTGTCGTAGTTTCGCGAATGCTTGCTCGATTGCCCGTTGATCCTCGTCCCGTTCAATTGAATCGTTCCGTAAGTTTCTCTCGTTCTGTCGACCATCGGCGAGTAATTCGCCCCGTTATTGTTGAACATCGATCCGTCGATCGTCGTGTTGTCGTAACTCGAGTTACGAACTTGCGAGATCGAGCCGGAGAAACTGTGGTCCCCGTTGCCAAGAATGTTTGGCCACATCGTCGATTGATTATTGTTGTTGTTGTTGTTGTTGTTCGGCGTGATCGATTGCGAATGATCCTGCTGCATGCTCGTTGTTTGATTGTTCGCGTGATTCGTTGTCTGATTCCGATTATTGTTCGGCGTGTTGCCGTTTTGGAATATGATTTTTGAATTTTGCACGCACACGTTCTCGTACGAAGCTGAACTCGATTGCCTCGAGGCGTCGAAAGAAAAGTACGGTTGGTTTTTCGATGGACTCTTCGGACTGTCGAATGGTGAATTATAGCCGAGTCGCTTGTCTCGTGGCAGAGAGCCGTTCGTCTTGATTCTGATGAAAAGAGATGAAATTACTGTAGACTTAAGCTGTGTAATATTGTGTGTGTGTATTGGAAGTAAAAAAACTATTATTGTTGATTCTGATTATTTCTTTTGAGATAATTTTGTCGAAATATTGACGAAGAAAATTGTACAATATTCTTATAAAAATATTATGAAGAGATCTCAAGGAAAATACTTTGGGATATAATTTATTAAAAATTGTTTTGAAATAAATTTATAAATGTTATTCAAAATATTGAAGGAGAAGATTATATAATTTTCTTTCTTTTCTTTCTGACTTCTATAGACATAAAATAGGAATCACTATAGGAGATAAAATGACATCGTTATATTAAGAGAATGATCTACTTGAAAGATAAACAACAATTCTTCGAAATATCTTTACTTAGTCCCTTTCAAAAGAGAACATTTTTAAAAGAAACGAACTTAGTGAAAGTATTATGAAACTAAATATTTCTATATCAATTTGAAAGAGAAAAAATAAAAACAGTTTCTCCTGCAAATTCAATTCGTTCTTACGAGTACCAATAACTTGAAGATTGAAATTAAAAATTAAAATTTTGTTTAAAATAAGAAATTTGAAGATATCGATAATTTTTCATCGTAAATGTTTCGCGTCAGGCTCGAATCTTCTCGCATGCAATAATCTAAGCATTCACCTATTAGGTTGCCTCGGCTTTTCGATGGTGCTCTGCCTCTCGTACTCGGCGCACATAGCGAGGATCTCCTCGAGTCTCATTTTCTCTTGCCTCTCGATCTCCTGCTCGCGCAGCCTCTCCTCCTGCGCCTGTTTCCTCTTGTTCTCCGCTTCTCGCCGCTTGTTCTCCGCCTCGATCTGTCTCTCCCGCAGTTCCTCCAGCGAGCAACCGCTCCCGATGCTAGGTGTTGGACTCTTCACTCGTGCGAAGCCTCTCTTCGGTTCGTTGTACTTCGGATTGCGATTGAACGCCGGGCTAGGCGGCTGTATCCTCTTCACGTTCGGGCTCGAGCCGAAACCTTGAGCCCCGGCCACGTTCCTCAAGTTTCCAGCGCAGAAGCTCCCATTGCCGTTGCAGATGTTAGGATTCGAGCCGAATTTTTCCAACTGAAGATACTCGGTCGTGGTGGTCTTGGTGACGATTAAACTTTGACTCATGTCGTAGTCCCTCGTTGTCGTCAAGTCGTCGAGATCGTTCGATCTTTGACAGGTGAAGCTTCGCGACATTAGATCTCCTCCCTGATTGACGTTGTTCTTCGTTGTCGTCTGACCGTGGGGATTCTGGCTGTTCTCGTTGTTGTTGTCTCTGTAGTACGGCTTGTAGGTTTTTAGGTATGATTCCGCGGACGAGTACATCTGAATCTGATTGTGGCTGGACGGTGAAACGCTTCGCTGCTGATGATTAGGCGTGCTAGATCGACTGGGCGTTCTGACCTCCAATCTCTGATGATTCTCGTCGCTGCAGCAGTTGGGCGAGGAGGAGGCGAAACAGCTGCTCGGAGATGACGTGCCGAGGAAATGGGCGGGTGAAGATGAATTAAAGGATGGTGTGTTTGAACGACTTCTGTCCAGGTTCGTTAAGTTCTGCAACGGTGAATTGTTGTTGGCATTTTTCAAGGAGACTAGGCTGGATGATCTCGAGTGACCGAGGATTTGATCGGCGGGCACGTTCGTGGTGATGGCACCCGCTGGAAAGACCTTGGGAGAGACGCAGTTGTTTCTGTTTTGCTTCGATAGCATTTCGAATTTCGTCAGTTTCCCGAGGAAGCCCATTTCCTCGTCCGAGCAGGAATTCCTTGGTGACTTTCGTGGGGCGACTGGTGGCTTTCTTTCCAAATGATAGTTCTCCTGGAGCTGGTTGTTCTCCGGTAGTGAGAAGCTTATAGGCGCCATGGAGATTCTCGAGTGTGGTAGTACCGATCGTAGTTGTTTCGCCTCGGCCGGGTGATTAAACCGCAGGAAGTTGGATCTACCAATCGAGAGCATACAACCTGAAACGTCAAATTTCCATTAGGAATTTTATTCGAAACGTAGCTGATTATTATGTAATATTTTCAATCAAAAATAGTAGAAGAAAAAGCATCTATTTTGTTCGGATAGCAAAATGTCTAAATAATAAATAATTCAGATATTTGAGTATTTGAATTATTATAATAATAAAATGAGAGTTCGAAAAAGGGAGGCTCTATTGTATTTTAATACCGGTGCCACGGTGACACATTCAATTTTGACCAAATAAATTGACCAATTCGTATTTGAGTCAAGGTCTTACCTTGAGCGAGTCTCACTGATGAATTTATCGGTACACCATCGACTGCCGTGCTTCCATTTATGGGGTGAAGAGTGACCACGCCGTTATTGTTTTCAATCGTGCAATGAATGGACTCGACGCCGGTACCAACGACAGAAATATCCGCATCCCGACTCGATCCAAGGGTTAGTTTACCTGAACAAAAAAATTACGCGTCTTAAGAAAGTGTAAACTAGAAATTCTAAAAATTATATAAATCTTAAGGCTTAATAATCAAACGTTTTTATTATTTTGAATAGGTATTTTTACTTATTTACTTAATATTTGATAACTAAAGTTATGTGTATATATATGTGTGCAACGTCAGCTGCGAAAGTGTCAAGAAACTTAGGATTTATTTTAGTATAACGGATAGGTAAATGTGCCATATTTTTAGAAAACAGAATTATATTTAACAAGAGCAACGAGTAAATATAAAACACTTCGGAACAGATTATTGTCACTAATACAGTGAAGAATAATGTCAACAAGAAAATAGTTTTTTGTTCGAGACTTTCAAGAAAATAAAAGTTGAAAATTTATCAAGCACACTTATACTTGGCTAATCTCAGACCAAATAGGAGTAAATAATCGACAGGAAGTAATTCTACGTGCGAAAATAAGTAAAAGAGTTAGCAATAAATTTTTTCCATTAAAGTTATTAACGCTAGAACTATCGACGATTAAAGCATAAAGTTTCCATTAGAAACACTAAAGTAAAAAAAAA